TCATACAGTAGGTATAGGGACTACAAAAGCATTCGATAACCAGAGGCAAGGCAAATAAGTCCACTTAGTGCAGTTTATCTTGTACTTAATCGAAAAAGAATATTGCTATTGGGATGTCACTATTTTCAAGTGCAGCGCGGGTGCATGATTTTTCAGAATATGGATTATTAGCTACTATGAGTAAGGAAGTAGAATGATGTGATTAGGGTAAAGGGGGGTGGGGAGAGGGGGGGGGGGCACAAGAAGACTATCGAGAGAGTTTGTGTGCCCCTTAGAATGGAACTCACTACAGCCTATCTAAACTATGTAACATAGTTTGACACACCCCCATAGGCTAAGTGAGGGGCATCAAAGCAAACAAATGGTCACAAGACCAGTCAAGAAGACAAAGCTCAGGGTGGATCAAAATGTCACCACACAGTCTAAGCACAAGCAAGCGGCCACAAGGCCAGTTCAAGAGTACACAAGTATATATATGCAAGGACATAAAGTAACAAACAAAAGGCAAAACTACAACAATCGAGGGCCTACGTCAACAAGGCCTAACTGCAGACAGAACCTGCGGTGATCATCAGGCGGAAGAGCCTTGGTGAAGATGTCTGCAGTGTTGGCCTCTGACTCCACGAAGTCCAAGCGTGCCTAGCCGCGTCGCTGCAACTCTCGTAGGAGAAAGTACATGACGTCCATGTGCTTCACTCTGCTCTCCAGTCGAGGATCATGGCCTTGTTGTCAGCGAACAAGGTCGATGCAGAGCTCGGCCGCTCACCAAGGTCGGTGAGCAAGAAAGTCAACCAACGAGCTCCTGCGCAGCCATGGCACCGGCGTAGATCTCTACCTCAGCCATAGACTGCGCCAGTGGACCTCCACGACACAGCTCTAACACCCAAGCTGAAGCAGTACCCCTGAGTAGAACGCTGGGTCTCCACGTCGTCGACGTAGGAAGAGTCGCAGTGACCGGTCAGCACAACTGGCTGTGTCCCTCCAAGCACAAGCCCCATGCCTGATGTAGTCGCCAGGTACTTCGCCACCCTCTCAGGAGCTGTCCAGTGAACAGGACGGTGTCTCCCAGTCGCAACAAAGCGAGAGAGGACGCTGAGGGGAAAGGCGAGGTTCGGGCGTGTACAAGTCATCAGGTACATGAGGCAGCTCACAAGCTCCGCGTAAGGACCACTCAAAGGGCTCGTCGGGAAAAGGGCCCGTGAGTCTGTGGTCAACGACAAGAGGAGTGGGCTGTGTGGTAGAGAACTGAAACCCGAACCACCGAAGGACCTGCTCCACCATGTGTGACTGAGTCAGAGTGATGGTGCGAGCAACTCTGTCCTTGGTGATCTGCAAGCCAAGGTAGCGGCGCAGCTTACTAAGATCAGTGCGCGTGTGTCTTTTCTGCAGTTCGGATTTCGCCTCAGCAAGAGCGACCCTATCTGCTGTAGCGAAGACCAAGTCGTCGACGTACACAAGAACGAAGAAAGGTGTGGGCCCAGAACGAACGAACAGCGTCGGGTTGACGGATGAAGGACGAAATCCGAGAGCAGCAAGAGTGGTGCGCAGCGTGTCGTGCCACTCACGGGGTGTCTGGCCGAGACCGTAGACTAGACGCCTCAGGCTCCACTGGGTCCGAGGCGGGAAAGTGCCAGTGAAGCTGGGAGGACGGCGCAGCCACATCTCCTCGTGCAGGCTGCCCTGGAGAAAGGCGGCGGAGGAGCCGAGGGAGTGCAGCTCGTAGTCTTGCTGTGCTGCAACGTGAAGTAATACCCGAAGAGTAGTCATCTTCGGGGTCAGTGCGAAAGTCTGAAAGAAGTCAACTCCCTCTCGCTGACTGAAACCTCTAGCCATGTAGCGCGCCTTGAAGACAGGCGGTGATCCCGACGGTCGCTTTACCTTGAAGATCCACATGCCATCGACTACGTTTGCCCCAGGAGGGGGAACTGCGTCGACGTAGGTGCCTGTGGATCTCCAAGACGCCATCTTTGCCTCCTTGGCCGCTATCCACTGAGAGGCCCACTGCCCTGCCACTGCCTCACAGTGTCAGAATGCTATAATTGTCTAGTCTGCAGTGGGGTACTCTATAGTGAGTACAACCCAAATTAGGGTTTGCTATATGTATCCTATCTGCTGCTAGTGCAACCTTCTCTTTCTGTTTCTAACTTTCTGCTAGCATTTCTCGACATGGTATCAGAGCGAGAACGCTCCTGGCCTGTGGGCCCACCTGCTTCCGCTGCTGTTTTGCCTGTCCCGCGCCCCGGGGCGCGCGGCGGTTTTGTCGCCCGTCGCGGCACCCCAGGGGCCCGCGCGCTGTCTTCTCCCGTCGCCCGTTGCGGCGCCCTGGGGGCCCGCGTGTCGCCCCCCTCCCGTCGCCTGTCGCAGCGCCCCAGGGACCCCACGCCGCCCCGCTTCCGCTCGCACGCCGCCCCAGCTGCTGCCCGCGTATCTGCCCCGCGCCGCGCGCGCGCCGCCTGCGTTGGGGCTACGGGGGTGGCGGGTATGGGGGTGGCGGGTGTGTGAGCCGTCCCCTGCTCCTCCTCCTCCTCCGTCTCCCACTGCTGCAGCTACCGCTGAGGGGGGTGGATGTGTGGGAGCTGAGGGAGTGGCGCTAGGGGGGTGCCGTGGGAGTGGAGCTAGGGGGGTGCCGTGGGAGTGGAGCTAGGGGTGCATAGGGGTGTGTGTAAAAGGGGGTCTGCGACAGTGGGGGAGGTTGATCAGAGGTAGCCGTTGTGGAGCCAGCAGCGCCAGTAGTCCGGATACCCTTGCTTGTGTCCGGTTTCCAGCGAGCCCGTTGCGCCAGTCGCCCGTGGGTCCGTTGCTCCAGCCGCTCGTCGTAGCCGCGGAGCCAGTTACTCCAGTAGTCCGGATACCCTTGCTTGTGTCCGGTAGCCAGTGTGCCAGTTGCTCCAGTAGCCCGTGTGCCAGCAGCTTCAGCCGCCGCCTCCAATCTCCTCTCCTCTCACAGTCCCTCCTCCTCCTCACTTGCCCTCTGTGACTGCCTCTAGCTTTGCTTGTGCTTGTGAACTTCTTATGGGACCGCCTCCAATCTCCTCTCCTCTCACAGTCCCTCCTCCTCCTCACTTGCCCTCTGTGACTGCCTCTAGCTTTGCTTGTGCTTGTGAACTTCTTATGCGACTGCTTGCTGTGCTGATCATACCCCACTTTGCCTATGGGGGTGTGTCAGAATGCTATAATTGTCTAGTCTGCAGTGGGGTACTCTATAGTGAGTACAGCCCAAATTAGGGTTTGCTATATCATATCTACTGCTAGTGCAACTTTCTCTTTCTGTTTCTAACTTTCTGCTAGCGTTTCTTGACACACAGTACGTGTGAGGAGTCGGTATGTAAAGGGCGTTAGGGTCTCCCTCAGGGGCTAGTAGCATGGCACAGAGTTGGGGACAATCAGCTGCCAAGAACTCCAACTCAAATTGCCTGTCCTCTAGGACGTCACAACCATGGGCCTCACCCTCGACGGATAGAGGACGGGCAGCCACCACTCGGGTGGCGTAGTCAAGGCGGCGGGTGGCGGCAAAGTCAGCGACACTGGCACTAAGAGCCAAAACAGACGACGGAGAGGCACGAGGGTCCGTGACTAGAGAGGCGAGAACACGAGTGTGAACAGGACGGGCGGTCCTGTTTTGTTTTGTTTTGTTTTTTTTTGGTGGATATAAGTACATTACGTGTATACATACATCCGCAGTCGTAACTGATGCTAGGAGGGCAAGAAAGTTATGAATAACTGTGGCCCCCTCATCCCCTTTATGGAGGCTGGAAGGCTACCCCACCGTCTTCCCAAATTGCCTTGAAGCCTGTCCTCCACGTCATCGAGGCCTCGTTCTCATACAGCCTGCGCATGATGTTTGCCTCGCCAGCACCCAAGTGGCTCCATTCGTTTGTCCTTCTTGTACTACTATTGCCAGCCATCCACTTCCGAGCTCTGCTTTAGATCTTCACGTGTCTTGTAAAGCCGACTGCTTTGCACATCAGTGCTCTCTTTGGCTGAAAGCGGCTGCCATGGAAGACCGCATCGCACCTCTCCAACCAAACTTGGTGCGCTGTGATTGAAATGATTGCAGCTTCCAGAAAGCCAGTCGACGTGCAGCTCTCTTGGAAGAGCATGTAGCCGAGCGACTCCATTCTCCTGCCCGGGTTCATGCATTGCACCGCCCTCCTCATCACTCCAACCACTGGTTGTATTGTAGGGCAGCTAAAAAAACAGTGATTTTGTGACTCCTCTCCCCCACAGTGTGTACAGCGCGCCCTAGCGCCCAAAAACGGCAGCCTCTCCCCCACCTAGAGGTTGTTACTGTGCGCCCTCAACACCACTTCCCACGCCTTGGCCGGGGTTGCCAGTGAGTCGTGGATCTTGATAGCTTTCCCCGAGTCAATTTTTCTTCCCACTGTTTATTCCCACTGCAGCTATTGCTTAGGTTGAGCCGCTGGGGCCCTCATCGCCTTCCTCAGCTGCTTTAGCTCGGCTCGCTCGCCTTTGTCGCAGAATGGTGAGTGAAGCAGCCGTGTTCTCGGGGCGCCCAGTGGGTTGCGCACCCTCCCTTCTATGACCGCCATAGGGGTAGCGCGCAGATAGTCGACTGTCTCCACGCTGGCGTACTCCACCGCAAATATGTACGTAGGTGTCACCGTCCATGCAAGTCCCAACCCGCTCAGAAGGAGGAAACCAGATGCCGACATGGCGGTCTTGAAGGTATCTAACACCCACCAAGTTCCGAGAGAACGAGGGGATTTGGAGACCAGAGAGGACACCAGAGGGGACAACCGGGCACGGGGGAGTAGTAGTGCTGCGAGCAACCGCTGGTCCTGAAGTAGGATCAGCCAGTGCTACTAAAACCGGAGAAAAAAGCGGAGTGAGAGACGTGTGGTCACGAATGAAGCACTGAGATGCGCCAGAGTCGAGCATAAAAAAGAGCGACGCCTCAGCCGTAGGTGCACCTGGGCTAGTAACTAAACAAGCACCCAAACCTGAAGCACAAGCACCTATACTAGCAACAGGCAAGGATCCTACACTATGAACACGCAAGCAAACAGATCCAAGAGCACTATAGTCAACATCAGCATACATCGCAGAATCAGATCGCAAAGCATCAAGCAGTCGTACAGCTGTCATTTGAAACAACCCTGGACCACGAGAGCAAACCAATGAGGCCCAGTCCGGAACTGGGCCAAAACCGTACTGAACACGGAGACGGTCCGTGAGCGGAGCGAAGCACTGACATGGAGGGTGAAGACGACCACAGGGCTGACCCTGACGAGAGCCGATCAGAACCACGTACGGGCAGGGAGGAGGAGTGACACCACGCGGCGCCCAACCGACTGGACTACCGCCACGTCCAGAGCTCCCTGACCCACCTGGTCCCTGCGGCTGTTGTCCGTGCTGCGGCTGCTGCTGCTGGGACTGTTGTCGCTGGTGTGCCGTGTACCAAGGAACTGGCCCAACACCCCCTCTCGTGGGGCCCGCAAGCCCAGTTCTACCCGCAGTGCCGCCTCCACTGGACGCACTAGTAGCGCCACCACCACCTGCACCACCAGCAACGCCACCACCTCTACCACCACCTGGACCACCAGTGAAGCCACCACCTCCACCACCACCACGACCACCACCACGACCACCACCACCACGACCACCACCACCACCACCACCACCACCACCACCACCACCACCACCACCACCACCACCACCACCACCACCACCACCACCACCACCACCACCACCACCACCACCACCACCACCACCACCACCACCACCACCACCACCACCACCACCACCACTACCACCACCACCACAACCCTTCCCCCGTCTCCTACCTCCCTTACCCTGCTTCTGCCCACAAGCGACAGAATCAGCTGCAGTCTCCTCAGAGCCAGACAATGCAGCAGTGGTAAGAGAAGCAGTGAACGTGGGAAGCTTGGGTGCAGTGCAACCATCAAAGAGACGGGGACGCACTACAGCAGTGGCAGCGGCAACAGCGAGGAGGTTGCTCTTGATCTTAGTGAGGGTGGACTCAAAATGATCGATGGTCAGCTCAGTGGGGTGCTTCAGGAGAAGCGCGTCGCGGGCAGAGGAGAGGCGGTCAGGGAGGCGAGTGACTAACGAGTGGAGGGTGAGCCACATAGGCGGTGGGGCAAGTTTGAGCTGTTCCTCAGTGCAGGAAGCACGCTTGTGTCAAGAGAGCGAAGGAGGGTGACAAGGTCAGAGACAGTCTCGAACGAGCCCAAGTCAGGGAACACAAATGGCATACGGAGGCGGCTGAGGGAGGCAGAGGAAGGGGTGCAATAGCAAGCAAGAATAGTGTCGTACGGGTCCTTTGCCGAGTCGCACTGTGAGAAGTGGGCTGGCTCGGTCGGCAGGAAAAGGTCAATGAGGGCGTTGCAAGCAGCACCGTCGCAGGACTCCCATACGTCACGCGCCAAGAACAGAGTCAGCCTGCTGATCAGCAGTGGGTGGAGGCGTAGTAGGCAAGGAACTAGGGCGCGGAGGGGCCTGGAGTGTGCCGGGCGCATGAGCAAAGAGGTTGGCGCCATCCTAACGTAGACTCCTAGTTGCGTTGAGCATGGGTAAGCCACGTGTTAAACTCGATCGGATGACCCTCGGCATCGAAACGTAAAACTCGAGAGGATGTCATGCTAGGCGCTAGGAGCAAGCGGAGGCAAAGCGAACGGAACGAGCCACGCCATACTGGTTATAGAGGTACAAGGTAGACTGAACGAGACACGAACACTAAACGTAACGAGGTGAGTCGACTGCGGCTGCCAACCGCCGTGAGGAACGCCTATGGTAGTAGGCTGGTGTTAGATAGTAGGTATGGGTGGGGTGGAGTACGGTCTAGCGTGGTTGGGTATGTTCGAGTTCGGTTGAGTGCAGTTGGGTGCATTTGAGTGCGATGGAGAGCGGTCAAGTATGTAGGTAGGGTGGGGGGGTTGGACTGTCGAGGAGCACGGGCAGCGGCGCGTAGCGAAGGTACGTGCAGTTGCTGCTGTTGCACGTGCGACTCCTAGTGCACGGGAAGCTGCGCGTGTAGCTGCTGCTGCTGCGCGCGCGGCTCCGAATGCGTAGGCAGCTGCACGCGCGCGTACAGCTACTGCGCGTGTCTGCTCGTGCGCGGCGGCGTGCGTGCAGCTGCGCGCTCTGGCGGCAGGGCAGGGCGCAGCACGGGATGGGGCGGGGCGCGAGCAGGGTGGGCAGGGCGCCCGGCGGGGGTTTCAGGGCGCGCGGCGGCGGTTTTAGGGTGCGTGGCAGCGGGTTCAGTGCACGCGGCGAATGCTGTACGCGTGTGCTAACCTGCGCGTGTGTGTGGGGATCTGCAGCGCGCGCGCTGCTGTGCACGTGCGCATGGCTCCTACAACGCAGGTAGCGTGGGCAAGCGGAGGGGCAGCACGTAACGTGGCGTTTAAGGGCGTCACGGGGCTTAACGGGGCGTCACGGGGCGACACGGGTGTCACGGGGCGTCACGGGGCAAAGGCCTAGGAGTAACCTAGCTGAGACCATCTCAGGATATGGATTAGCTACTATGAGTTAGGAAGGAGAATGATGTGATTAGGGTAAAGGGGGGAGGGGGGGGGGGGGTACAAGAAGACTATCGGGAGAGTTTGTGTGCCCCCTAGAATGGAACTCACTATATTCCATCTAAACTATATAACATAGATTGACATTAGTCAGTAAATAATATTGCTATTGGGATTTCATTGTTTTCAAGTGCAGCGCGGGTGCACGATTTTGTAGACCAACGCCGCTAGCCACGAAATGAGAACCACTGCAGAGCTAACAAGTTACGAAAAGAACAAGAATGCCCAGCAGTGCCGCACTGCACTGCATTGCAGATACGATATGCTGCACGTTTTTGTACTGCAGCAATTTGCAGGCGGCATTCTATGTGGAACGCTCCTCAAGGGGACGGAAAGTGAGAGGGAGGGAGGAATCTGAGCAACAGGGGCTGCTGCCTGGTGGGGGGGGAGGGGGAGGGAGGGAGACAGGGGGTTGGGAGGAGGGGAGATGGCAGAGGAGAGAGAGTGCGATGACATGATATGAAGGAGAGGATGAAATCGCATCGCTCGCATCTCCCTAGGTCCCTCGCTACCCCTCTCACTCCCACCTCCTCTGCTTGCCACCACTGCCACTCATCACCCCTATCCGCCTCTGCCACTCCGCCTCCTCTACAAGCAGCAACAGCCTCTCCCACAGTCTCGTACCAACACTCTCTTTGCTTCCACACCCACTCACCCCACGCACCATCCACCTTCCCCATGCACCATCCCCCATCCCACGCACCACCCACCATCCCCACGCACCTCTCTCACCTTCCCAGAAAGCAAGAGTGCGGGCAGATGCAAGCGGGCGGCACGAAGGGAAGGCGATCCCCCTGGCATGGGAGATGGTTGTTGCCGCCCTCTGCTGCACCACCGCACATGGGTGGTGGGGTGGCACATGGGTGGTAGGGGGGGAGAAGGACAAGAGCACAACAAGAGGAAGGGGGCAGGAGAGAGAGAGGAGATGGGTGAGCAAGGAAAGTAGTATAATAGAGAAAAAAGGGTGGGTGAGGGCGAGGGGTGGCAAAAGAAAGAGGAAATAGGTTGGAGGGAGTGGAGGATGGTTCAACAGCAAGTCGGTATTGGTGGGCAAGCAGGTGGGTAAGAGAGGGAGGACTGCCGTGAAGGGGAGTAAGGAGGAACCATAGGGAGAGAACATGGATGGGAGGGGGAGGAGAGGGGAACAGACGAGAACGAGTGGGAAAATGGGTAAGGCTTGAGAATTTAGGGATGGTATTATGGGGAAATGGGTGAGGGGCATGGTGTGCATGCGTGCATGTGTGCAGTGTGAGATGAGCAGGGCAGTGAGGCATGCGAATGGGGCATGGGAGTGTGCTTGTGCGCATGGGAGTGAGCTTGTGCGCATGCATGGGTGTGCCACAAAGAACCACCTGCACTGTGCAGCTCGCAGGGCAGCCCGTAGTGGAAGTGTGCAGGCAGGCAGAGATGTGCAACAAAAGAGGCATGACGTGTGTTGCTGTGGTGTGGTGTGGCTCCACGAGAGCAGCACGCATGGCATGGCTTGGTGTGGCATCACGCAACCATGGCGTCGTCGCGTTACGCAACGGCGGGGTGCGACGGGAGAGGAAACCAACGCCACACAATGCCTAGCGGCTCATGCCTGCCGTGCCCTGGGAGTGGGGAGATGCGGGAAGAAGGAGAGGGCGGGGCAGATGCGAAGGGGAGGGGGGCGCTGAGGGGAGAGGGGGGAGATGAGGGGAGAGGGGGGCCTGATACGTGAGGGTTGACTACGCAACGGTAGTGGCGCGCGAAAGAGTGTGAGCGACGTCATGCAGATGAGAGGTGGGTGCGGTGAGGCTGCGGGGACAGTTGCAGCAGCGGAGGGGAAGGCGGAGGCGAGTGATAGGGCGCATTGCAGAATTTGTTTCATTCGCGCGTGAGAAGCCATCTGTGGGAGAGACGGCGGGGTGACGGAAGACGGCGGCGAGACGACGGGCTTGACGGAAGAGTTATGTTGAACAAGGGGTAGAGCTGTTGACGCGTGACACATGCCGGCCTGTATCGCCACACCTATCATACCTGCCGAGCAATCCATATGTCCGCCGGTGAGTGGCGCACAACTGTCTGCAGAGGGAGTGCGCCAAGTCGAGCAGCGCCACGCTGCATCCGTATAACAACCACGGCCCTTATAAAAACGGGCAACCGTGCGTTAAATAAATAAATTCCTTAATACATCTAAAATAAAGATACAAGGCTTCCGAGATTAAACCAATCCCACCAAAGGGATAATCTAGCCTTGATAGCACTCTTGAAGCTTGAGAGGAGAATGAGAACTTGAAGAGTGTTGATGAAGCTTTAGCAAGTAGGTAGGTAGCTTCTTGTAGAACTTATCCTGGAAGAAACCACAACTCTAGCTGTGTAGGAGAGTTTCTTAGGAGAACCAAAGACTTAGAGAAATCCCATTTCCAAATTGGTGTGTTGGAGTTGGGAAGTGGGGAATGAGCTTGCAAGCTCCAACCCCTTCCACAACACCCCTTGGGGCTCTTCCCAACCATGGCTTCCATGGTTGGGGAGCTTCTAGGCTTTGAGCCTTTGTGGCATTTTAGTTTGGTTGGGAAAACCCAACAGAATTGCATTGTATGGTTGATTTGTAGTTTGTGTGGATTGTAACCACAACTGGCAAGTTCTGATTGGTTGGATATCAAACTATTCAATCTTCACATTTGTTGGGTCGGAAGTTTCCAAGCTCAAGGTTGAGGATTGGAAATGTCAAACCAATCTTCCCCTCCAACCCAACCTTCCCAACCCAACCAACACAACTCCCGTAGTCTCATTTCCTTGTCGAGAAGGCTAGGAAGGTTAGCCAGTTGGCTAGTTAGGTCTCGTGTTACAATCCGGCAGTCCGCTGCTCCTCGTGTCGCTCCCTACGCTCTTCAGGGAAGTCTTTGCTAAGAAAAAAAAAAACACCCGAGTGCATCAGTGTGGCCTACAAAGTTACACGAGATATCAGGGAAATACTAATCCGCCAAAAAATTACCCAGACACATCAGTGTCAGCCCTAAAATTCACCCTTGTAATCAGTATAGAAGGGTAAATTACACTAATCAAATAGACCCTCCTGTCGAGGTCCTCGTGTCCAAGGTATGTCGCCGCCTCTCTAGTGAAGGTCTTTGGAGAAGCAAAACCGTCTAATTAATACGCGTGGCATCATCGTCAACGTTCGCAGCAGTAAAGAAGACCTCCACGCCGAACAACCACCCTTTGACTGTAGTACCCTTGTCCAAGGGGTTGAACGGGGGCGGGCTCGCAGGCTTGATCTTGATCGTCATAACTGCCATTGTTGTTGCCCACACTGTCTGCCTATCGCCTTCTTCCACGCCTCGTGGGAGCTCGCCAGTTGTATTAACGCCGCTACCACTTAACTGGTGGTTTCGCCATCT